GTGTGTGTGTGTGTGTGTGTGTGTGTGTGTGTGTGTGTGTGTGTGTGTGTGTGTGTGTGTGTGTGTGTGTGTGTGTGTGTGTGTGTGTGTGTGTGTGTGTTCAGACACCGAGCAATAGATCGGAGCATCTGCTACATAAATCAGATGGTGCCAGCCACGGACCACCAGCCCGGGAACCCCAGCCACAGCCCTGCTGCCGGCTAGTGGGAGAACCGCGCCCCGTGCCTGCAGTGTGAACGCGGGGTGCTCGGGGCTCAGGCCGAAGCCGTCCCAGCCAGGCCCGTGCAGCCAGCTCGCCCATTCCCAGGCCGGCCTGGCCTTGCCCAGCGCTCGGCCTGCCGGCCATGGGGGCCAGTTCCCTGTGAGCGCAGCCCGGCTCCTAGGCTCCTTCGGTCTTTCTCGAGAGACCCTCCCCTTAGCCATGGGCTCCTGCAGCAGTCCCCCCTCCCCCCACCGCCGGGGGAGCTGCCATGAGCTGAGCTCGCCCCACTCAGGGTGGTCCCCGCACCTCCTCCCTTCGCTCCAGCCCAGGCAGCGGGGCTCAAACCTGGGCTACTCACACCCGTGTGACAGCAGCTGGCCGCTGGTCCCCGGGCACCCCATCTCTCCCCACGAGCCGCGCTGTTCCTGGGAGACAACATGCCAGGCAGACAGTGGTGAGCCTCAGGCTGGGGTTTATTTGTAAACGACCCGTGGTGCCCGCAGTCTCCCCGTGGATCCCCCCTGCCCCCACGGGCTGCTGCTCCCCCGGACACTTCAGGAAAAGCTCTTTGCAGCCGCCCCGCTCTGGCCCGTGGCAGAGTCCTTGTCCAGCTGGCCCCGGCACTCCCTGGTGCTGGCGGGGGCGGTGTTGGCCGCACACGTGGCTGGGGGCAGCAGGGCGTCCGCGCTGGAGGGCCGGGGGGAGACGGCCCGGCAGGCCGAGGCTGGCTGCTCTGGCGCCAGCTCCGCCCGCTTGCCCATGGTGAGGATGCCGGCGGCGTGCTTGCCCGAGCCGTGCAGCAGACGGTAGAGCTGGCTCTGGAAGGCCTGCGAGCCGCTCTTTCTCTTGCCCAGGGTGAGGATGCCGGCGGCGTGGTTGCCCAAGCCGTGCAGCAGGTCGTAGACACGGCAGGGGCAGGTCTTCTGGAGGCAGCACGTGGGCACGCTCTGCCGGGCCGCAGCCAGAGAGCAGAGCAGCGCCAGGACCAGGAGGCAGCAGGCCCTGTGGAGCTGCGGGCGCAAGAGGCAGGCATTAGTGCAGGGACAGGCTGGCATTGATGGGGTTAAACCCAGAGACGCCTCAGCCCCCCTCTGCCCCAGGCTGCGGATATCAGAGCCCAGCTGCAAAGTCCCCGCCCCCACCCCCAGGAGCTGCCAGACGGGCTCAGCCCAGGGGCCCATCTAGCTTGGCATCCTGGCTCTGACAGCTCCAGCAAGACGCCCTGCAGTGCTGGGCTGCCCGGTTCCCACTAGTGACCCTGACCCCACTAGTGACAGGTTGGGTGGTGCCCAGCGACCGGTCTGGCCCAGCCTGCGGGGGGGGCCCCAACAAGCTCCCCCAGCTAACCCCACACACCTCGCAGGCCCAGCCCCACCCTCTCCCAGCAAACCTCATGTGGGCGCCACCTCCCTGCCCTGCCCCACTGTGAACCCTCAGCCAACGCTTCCCCTAAAAGACCCAGCACGCCCCAGTCTACCATAGCCACCCCCCAGCCGGCTTCACACCTCACCACACCCCTCTGCACCAGCTGGGCTGCACGACCCTCCCATGGCAGGACTAGAACCCAGGAGTCCTGAGCCCCTGCCCCTAACCACTAGCCCCCACTGCCCTCCCAGAACCCAGGAGTCCTGCCTGTCACACGCCCTTTGCACAGGCCCTAGCAACCTGCTCCAAAATCCAAGACAAAGGGATCAGGCACACACTGTCCCCTGCCTCTCACCCCATGGCAACACTGCAGCCCCCGCCCCTTTCCATGCAGGAGAAACAGCCGCGGCTGCAATTAGTGCTAATTGGCCCCCTGGCTGGCAGAGGGTGCGTCATGGAGACCAAGCTGCCCCCAGGGAGCCCTCCGGGGTGAGGCGGGTCTGGGGCGGGTGGGAAGCTCACCCCGTTTCGGGCGTGGCCGGCAGGGTCAGGCTGCACCCGGGCAGGGTCGGGAAGGGGTTAAATATAACAGCTGCTGGGTCTCCCTTTAACACTGAGCGGGACTCGGTTCTGCGACACCTGGCACTCAGCCAGACCACTGACCCCGTGCAATGCTCGTGCAACGCACCACGGTGCTGAGTGGGGAGCGGTTCACGCAGCGGACGCAAGGCCAGGGTGGTTTGGGCCACAGGCGCCAGGCGGGACAGACCTGGGCCCAGCGTGCAGCCCTAGCAGGTCTTTGCCTCCCCAGTGTCCTACGCGGCCCAGCAGGCTGGCTCCAGGGCTCGTGGGGCAGGGGAGGGGGCGTCTCGGTGGGTTCTGGGACCCCCCTGGGATCAGGAGAGACACCGGGAATGGACAAAGCAGATGCCATTTGCACCCCGGCCTGCGTCCCCTGAGGGCAGGACAGGCTGGGCTCCTCCCCAGAGCTGCTCACCAGGAGGGCACATGGGGCAGGGAGACACGCCAGCCTGGGGTTCAAGGCCACCATCGCGCGACCCCCAGTCACTGTGCTCGCCTCCCCCTCGTGCTGCGCGCCTGCCCCTTCCCAACTGTGCCCTTGCTGGCGCGAGACCTCCCTGCACTGCGGCCTCTCTTCTGCCCAGCCCAGCCCTGGTGGCCAGGCCCTGGCGCCGTACCTTGGCGTTGGGCACCTCCATGGGTCCGAGGTGTCTGCGAGGACCTGAGCGAAGCTTGGGCATGACCCGGTGAGGAGCAGCTACGCCCTGAGCCGCTCTCCCCGGCAGCCCAGGCTTTTATAGGGCCAGGCTGCCCCGAAACTCATCCCCTGCCCTCCCCAGCCCCCGCACAACGGTGCTGGCAGCAGTGGGGCTGGGGCTGCAGGACAGGCCAGTCTCTGGGAGACACGCACCCATTGTCCCCCGTTGCTTGGAGACGGGCGAGGCCCGTTCCCTCATTTGTGGCTCCCCATTATGCGGCGGCCGGAGCCGAGTGGCTGGTGGTCGTGCGGGATGGAGACAGGCCGCGTCGCCTGGCGCTAATGAGCCTGTAACTTCCGAAGGAATCCGCCGGCCCGCACGGCACAAAGCTGCCGGAAGGTCAGCAGCGGGGAGGAGGGGGAGACTGGGCCCCATTAGGCTAATTACCCGGCCCCAACAAAGGGGGTCTGGCAGCCGAGCCGCATCCGTCCCTGGCACATCAGAGGCGCCGGCGTGGCCACACGTGTCCGTGGCACGGTGCACCTCCGAGCCCCTGGAGAGCCAGGCCCTGCAGGCGGAGAGCGCGGGGGGAGAATCCGCCCCCCAGGGACGTTGGAACATGTTTTATGGGGGGGGGCACTGGTGACGGAAACCCCAGATTTGAGCTATTACTTCTCCAAGCCAGGGGCAGCACCCCCCATTTCCAGCCCCAAAGGAGGCCCCTGCTCAGCCCTGGGGCCCTTTCAGTCCTCACCCTGTCTGTGGGTCAGGCCCCATGGCCTGGGAGAGGCAGCCACAGCTCAGGCCAAGAACCTCCGCGCTGCCACCCCCAGGCTGGCATCTGTGCCCAGCCATGGACACCTTGCTGCAAGTTGGATGGCACTTGGGGGGCGGTGCGGGGGGTGCCCCCAGGGACAGGCTGCTCAGTCCCATGGCATGGGGCAAGCCCGTTTTCCCCCTCTCCAGGCATCCCCGCTGCATCCAGATGGGCCATGGCAGGGTGGGGGCTCCCCACTGCTCCTGCCTCAGCCAGGAGGGGTCACTAGTGGGACACGTGGCCCCCCTCTGCACCCACCCCTTGCACAGCTCCCCCAGCCCTGCCTGGCCACAGGCCAGTGCTCAGCCATGGCCAAGCCACCCCCGGCCCGTGGCCACAGCTCAGGGGTGAAACACGCCGTTTTCCCGCGGCACTAGGCACCGTCCCCAGGGCGCTGGCCCAGCCCCCAGCTATTGACAGCGTCCCAGGCCGCCTGGGTCCCTAGGAGCCACCCAGTGCTGGCGGAAGCAATTTCCTTGTGGGGCCGGGCCCTCCCTGGAGGCCAAGCGCTCCCCTGGCCCGGCCCCAGCTAACGGCAGGAAGATCAGCGCGGGACGCACCTACTTCCACTAGCCCTGAGCTGGCCCCACAGGCGGGGCTGCAGGGGGCTTTGGCGGGAGGCGTCCGGCTGATTAGGGGCCGTCGCAGTGGGGGCACCGGGGGGTGCACGGCTGCCGGGAGCAGGGGCCCTAGCTGGAGTCTGGCACGGTGAGAAATAAGCCCTGACGGACTGTGCCCTGCAGAGGACTGGGCAGGGGGCAGAGACATCCCCTGAGGGTCCATGACCAGGGCCTCCCCATCACCCCTGCGGGAACTGGGGAGAACACCAAGGGCAGGAGACGACTGTGGGCAAATCGCCAAGGCAACGGGCCAGGGTTTGTCACCAGCAAAGCCGCCCAGCTGGCAGGAGCCCCACCCGCGGGCGGCGCTGGGGGCGAGCACCTGGCACTCCGACCTGGCCAGAGAGCGGGGCCGGGAGCCCAGGCAGGCCGAGTCCCAGCAGCGACTGGCTGCGCCTCCGGCTGCTCCAGCCGCTGCCTCCTTCCCGGGCATCACACGGTCACCACAGGAGCAGCGAGGGTCCTCCTCCCGCCGGGGGGGGGGGGGGGCACGTACAGCCTGTGCCCCAGGGGTGCCCCATGCCAGGCCCAGCTTGGCTCCTGACGGCGAAGGGCCAGATTTGCTGAGCTCCCCGGACCCAGCTGCGGCTGCCCATCTCGGGAGTGCAGCCAGCCCCCGCCCCTCAGACAAACAGCAGCCGCTGCACCAGCTTGGGGTTTGCTCTTTATAACGCCGCAGCTTTGACCCTGCTCTGAAAACATGGCGGGGGGGGGTTGCCCCCAGCTTCTGCTGCCTGTGCGGAAACCCCGCCCGGCTCAGCGCTGGTTTCTCGGCTCGCGCCGCGCCGGGCAGCCCCCTATTGCTCTGTGACTCGATCCTGCCGCCGGAGTCCCCCCAGCAGAACCCTGGTAATGGCGCCCGACCCCCTGGGGCAGTTCCCTGCCCAGCCCCATGGCCAGGCCCCTGCTCCAGGCTGCACTCACCAGCTCCGCCCTGGGCCCTGACCCCCAGGTGGGGCCAGGGAGGCAGCCCATGAGCTAGGGCACAGCTGGTGAGTTCCTGGCCCCCGAACCCCATCCAGGAGCGTTGTCTAGGGCTGGGCTGCGGGGGGGGGGAGGGGTTAAGTAGGAACCTTCATGGCCCCGCCCAGCCCCAGGGCAGCTCAGCGGCGGGTTGGCAAGCTGGTGGTGAGCCGGGACCAGGCGTGAGCCCCTCTCGGAGACCCCCACGTCAGCACGCTGGGTGCCCAGCGATGCCCTGGAACGCGCTGGCCGAACCCCGCAGGGCAGACGCAGCCGATGCCCCCCGACAGGGGTTCCAACTCCCCCCACGACGGGACCACCCAGCTGCATCTGCACTGCAGGGGGGGGGCAGCTGCAGCCCGGGGAGGGGGGGATTTTTCACAGCTCAGCACTGCAGCTATGTCGACCTAACCGCTCAGAGCACGCCAGCCCCCCCACTCCCCTTCCCCCCCCCCCCGGCCCAGCCACACGCAGCAGGACAGAGACGCTCCTTCAGTGAGCGCAGTCGGAGCAGGGCCCGGGCTGTGGGGAGGCTCTGGGGGCTCAGGGCCCCAGTGTGACGGAGAGACACAGGCTGGATCCGGCCTGACCCCCCCCTCACTCCCAGCGCCTCGTCCCAGAGCAGATTCCTGCAGGTCCCCACTACACATTCCCGAGCCCAATCCCTGCCTGAAACGACCCCCCAGCCCAGCCCGAGGGCGCAGCCCAGGGCCAGGCAGAGCGCTAACCCCACCCCCACCCGAATCACCCGCCTGGATCGCCCCGGGACGGGCCGTGCAGCCCCCACCCCGGCTGGGCTCCTGTCTCCCAGACGCACGGCCAAAGGCCCGGGCGTTCTGGGGCCGGTGCCCGTACAATCCTGGGTCCGTGGCAGGAGCGCTGGGGGCCCCGGGCGATGGAGGGGCCGCGGGCTCAGTCCTGGCCCCCACGCCCTGCCTCGCGGTCAGCAGGACCCGGTGTCACTGCCTCCTTCTGTCTCTGAGATGGGCTCCAGCGGGGTCCGGGCCCGGCCGAGCTCGGGGGAGGCAGAGCCGTTCCTGCCGATCCCACACGACTGCCCCGCGTTGTGGATCTGCCACAGGTTGTCCAGAGCCTCCGCCTTGGCCTGCTTCAGGAGATCTGCCTGGCCCTGCAGTGGGGAAAGGCCAAAGGTCAGGGGTGAGGTGGGGCGGGGGGCTCCTTCGAGGTCTCCGCTCTGGGGGAGCAGCCTGGACCTGGGGGCAGGGGCTCCCCCCCCCCAGCGAGAACTGGCCCCTGGGCTGCGGGGAGACGGGCCCAGCTTGTGACACGCAGAGACTCTAACCCAGCCGAGCCGTCTCCCCTCCCCAGACAGAGTCACTGCTCAGGGGCTGCCCCTAACCCCCGCCCCAGCCCTGCCCGGGGGCCAGAAGGGAGCAGCGTGATCCTCTCGTCTGACCTCCTGCACAGACCCTGGCCCCCCCACTCCTGCAAGAGACCCCTCGCCTCCGGCTGAGTCCCTGACGCCTCGGATCACGGGTCAGTCCCGCGGCAGCGAATCCCCCTTTCACACTGGCCTCACCGTCAGCTCCTCCCTGGCTGGAGTCCCCCCGCCCCTCCCGGTGGCCTCTGTGGGGTGAACGGGGGATCTCAGCCCAGCCCCCCGGTGGGACAGGGAGCTGAGAGCTGACGATAAATGCAGAGATCTGAATGGGACGCCCTGCGGGGTGCAGGCCAGGGAGCCTCACGCTCCCAGAGCGGAGCCGAGACCCCCGACGCCTGGCAGGACACGGGCCTTAAAGGAGCAGGGCGACGCCGTGTCCCTCCCCCTCTCGTTTACATGGGGGGGGCTCTGCTATCAGGTGCTAGCAGAGCCTGGGGCTGGGGGGCACCTGTCCAACCCGGCACATACAGGGCCCCAGCCCCGCCCGGCCCCCTTCGCTGCTCACTAGCCCTGTGGGCTACTGCCCTGGTGCCACCCGGAGTCCACTCTGGGTACTGCAGCTCTGTGCCTCCCCGTCCAAGCCCAGCTGGTTCCCTGGGCCAGCAGCATCCAGCAGGAGGCAGCGTTTTCACACCCAGCGGGTGGGGTGTCGTGGGGAAGCGGTTCCAGGCAACGGCCCCTGAACAGCCTGGTGTGCTGCTGACTTCACAGCACCCCTGTCCGGGTAGAGCCCCGAGAACCAGCCAGAACGCCGAGCCCGGCCAGTGGCACGGTGCTGGGAACCCCCCCGAGCTGGGGCCAAACCTGTGACGCTCGGCCCAGAGCCTGAGCTAGAGGAGGAGCTCCCTTTGCTGGCAGCAGCAGTAGGTTGTTCTCCCCTCTGCGGGCAGCCACGGGCACCACACTCGCCGCAGACCTGCCCCCTCCAGCATCCCACCTGGGTACCGGGGCCCCGGGAACAATTCATACTGGGGGCGGGAGGGGCTGAGAGCCATTGAACCAAACAGCCCTGTACATGATGGAAACCACATTGAGGCAGAGGGCGTGGCAGCCCCGCCAGTTCCAGCCCCTACCCCGTGGCACTGCCCCATACGCTCCCTAGCTCAGCCCCACAAGGCCCCCTTAGCCATCGCCCAGCTCCGAGGGACGCTCGTGCCCCACACAGCCCCTAGATGGCAGCACGGGATCACCGCACCGTGGGCCAAGCTCCTTGATCCAACCTGCCTCTGACGGGTCCCACGGGAGCAGGGCCTGGGTCTCCCCAGAGCCCACCCCACACCCAGAACAACAGGGCCCCGGTCCAGACCCAGGCAGGGCAGAGCCCAGTCCAGGGGGCACAGAGCTGTCCTCACTTGTGTGTGCCCCATGGCACCCCCGGCACAGCCCAGCAGGGACCATGGCAGCTAGGCCTGGGGGGTGGGGGGAGACTAGGATGTCGGGGTTCGCCCCACCCCCACAGAACAGCTCATGGACAGTCTCTTGGCAGGGCGACCTGGGAGCTCAGCACCCCCCAGAGTCGCCTGCGCCCCAGGCACTCCCAGCCCAGGCAGGCAGGGCGAGCACATGGCAGCGTCCAGTGCAAGCCGGCATCACAGGGCACCGCTCCCTCCCTGCAGCCACCGGCCCCCCAGACCCCCCATGGCTCTGAGCTCCTGCTGCCCCGGTGCTGGCTGGGAAACCCAGGGGCCCGGCCTGCGAGAGGTGAAGTTCTCGGCTTAAACCCTCGCAGGAGATGTAGAGACAAGCCCTGTCCTGGCCTCACCCTGAGGCGGGGGGGAGGGGGGGGGGCTCAGCTGGGGCCCAGGGCCAGGCCCAGTGCGTGGAGGGGTCACTGGACCAGCAGGGCCCTGCTGGGCATCATCCAGCCCCCCACTCGCACCTCCCACTCCTCACGGTGCCCCCCCTTCCCTTTCCCAGCCCGACTCTATCCCCGGCCTGCTGGTGCCAGCCTTGTCCTTCGGCTTCGGCCGCTCTCCTCCTCCTGCCCCGAGAGACTTCTCTAGAGCAGCCGCTTCCCGACTGCAGCACCAAGCCAGCGTCCACCCGGCACGTGCTGGGAACCGAACCCCCGGCCCAGCCCGCGGAGACCGGGCAGCGCACTGACCACAACACGCAGCCATCGGGGCAAACCCTGGGGCCAGGGGCTGCGGAGCAGGGCATGCTGGGAGCCGGCGTGCAAAGGGCCCAGAAATACCTGCCCAGAAGTGTGCGTCCCACACGCTCGCACACGCAGCCCAACACACTGCTCCAGCCGTGCACAGCCAGCCGTGTACAGCCCATGCGCACGCCCACACAGCCACATACCCTCCTCCAAACGCGCTCACAGCCCTCCACGTGTGCGCAGCCCTACAATGCACACACAGTGCCAGTGCAGAGCCTGGCAGCCCGCCACACACACACACACCTGTGCACGCCCATGGCCTTCAGCCCGTCACACGCACACACCTGTGCATGCCCGCAGCTTTCAGCCCGCCACACACACCACACCTGTGCACACCCGTGGCCTTCAGCCCGCCACAGACACACACCTGTGCACACCCGCGGCCCTACAGCCCGCCACACACACCACACCTGTGCACGCCCATTAGCTCTCCCACGGCAGCCGGAGCTGCGGCCCCTGCAGGGCTCGCTGAAGCAGGCTCTGTCCTAGCAAAGGGCGACGGAAGCTGGCCGGGGGGGCTGGTGATGGCTGCAGGGGCCACGGCTGGAGGCTGCTCCGGGGAATTTCTGCACCTGGCGGGCAGGCCAGTCCTTGGGGGGCTGGAGCCCCACTCCTCACACAGGGGTTGGGATCCGCCTGACGTCCTCGGCCACCATCGGGTCCAGCAGTGCCTGCTGACCGGGTGACTCAGCCCCGCGGGTGCTGAAGCGGCTGGGAATGGCTCTCAGGGAGCTGAAGCTGCCGGGCCGGGTGAGCCAGGCTCTGGGGTGGGCTGAGGCAACCAGCCCTGGCCACCAACAATGCCCCTTTGTCTGCAGCCTGGACTGCGCCCAGCCCTGCTGGCCCGGCTCCCCGGCAGTCTCAGCTCTGCCACGTGAGCTGGCACCAAGCAGGGCCCAGGGCAAGGCTGGGCTGGGAGCCAGGGGCCTGGAAGGTCGGGGCAGGCGGCTGGGACCACCCCAGGATGCACAGGGGCAGCTGCCAGCGCTAGCACCGCAAAAGCGGAGCGGGACTCCTGGATTGCATTCCTGGATCCGCCACTGACGCTCAGTGTGGCCTTAGGGAATTCCCTCCCCCGTGCCTCAGTTTCCCCCTAGGAGCGCAGGGATCACGCCCTTCCCGTGGGCACGTGAATCTGGCCGGGTTTGCTACGTGTGGAGGTGACGCGAACGCTCAGCATGGGCATCGCTCTCCTGGGCGTCCCGGCCCAGCACTCCGAGCGGCAGAGGAAACACCGTCACCCGGCACGGTCTGGCGTCCCACCACCCCCAGGAGCAGGACCTAGAGCGTCACCCGATGTGACGAAGTGGGGGATTTTCTTGTGTTTTCCTTGTTTTTCCAATGGTTTGCATGCAGAGCGGGTGGGACTCAGTGTCCCTGGGGGTTACTGGTTTAATGAGGGGAGAGGAGAGGGAGTTTGTTGTTACAGAGGACGGGAGAGGGAACTTGGGACCCCAGCCGATGGCCTGGAGAATAGAGACCCCCAGCGACTGGTGACCTGACGACCCGGAGACCCAGATCAGGAATCGCAGCTGGTTCTGGCCAGTGGGAGGACAATGGGCTGTGGAGAGACGACCCAGTGACCTGACTAGACGGTTCCAGCCCGAGGGGGCCAGAGGAGGGCGGAGAGGAGAGGAGGCCCAGGCGACCCTGTTTACGACCCTGTTTCTCTGGAGAGAAGACAATGGACAGAGGCAGGGCCTGGAGCCGGTGATATCAGATGCCCAGCTGCGAGCAGGGGGGCTCTGGGCTGGAGAGGGGGAGCAGGCAGAGCCCACCTGGATGCAGGGGGACTGGGGTGTGCTGGGCTGAGGGAGGCCAGGCCTGAGGCCCTAAGAGTTTCCTGTGCTGTGTTCAACGCTCAATAAACCTCCTGTTTTACATTGGCTGAGAGTCGCTCTAGGCTAGAGAACGGGGGCATCAACCCCTTCGGGGGGTGGAGGCCCCGGGGGCCCAGAGCGAGGGGACTCCCTGAGGGAACCCACGGCGAGAGATAGACGTGCTAAGGCTCAGAGAGGTGCGGCTTTGGAGGTGGAGGGGCCTGGCCCCGAGAGAGAATGGACCCCCGAGAAGGGCTGTCTCACTGAAAGGGGCATCCCCCCACGGACCGCACGGGGCCACGAGTGGGCACGATCTGTGAGTCCGTGAGACCCCATCAGGCCAGCCCCAGGTCCCAGGTACAGGTGAGGAAACAGACCCGGGGAGGGATGGGCCCAGCGATCCCGGCTCTCGGTCCCACTGGTCCTCGGGCTCCAGTCTCCAGGGCTCCTTTAACACGGGGGAAACTGAGTCAAGAGAAAACCACTGCAGAGGAAAATCTCGAGGGAGGACCCCAATGCCAGCAGCCAGGCCCCGGCGTTACCTTCAGCACCGTGATGTTCCAGGCGAAGCTCTCCAGGGCCTTCTGCAGCTTCCTGCCCGTCAGCCCCTCCTCGGCCTCGAGCCGGCGCAGCTCCTTGTGGAAATCCATCCCTGGGGAGCGGAGCAGAGGGGAGCCGTCACGCGGAGCTGCTGGCGCCGACCGGAGGGGCCACAGCGGCCGGGAACACAGCAAAGCCGGCGGCAGGGTGCCCAGGGCTGGCTCCATATGGGGATCGCCCTGCGCTGCTCGCTGGTGCCCTGGCTGCACAAGGAGTCCCCGAGGAGTCGCTGCCCCAGAACAGTGCCCCGTGCACAGCCCAGGGGCAGGGGAGAGCAGGGGAGCTGGGGTCAGGAGATACCCAGCCCTGCCCCCCACTCAGGCAGGAACAAGGGAATTCCATGTCACAAAGGGGGGTCCCCAGTAGGGCAGGGCCCTTGGCTGCCCCTAGGGGACCGGTGCAGCCCCAAGCCCAGAGGGTACACGGGACGCCCAGCGCCCGGCTCAGGTGTGATCCCAGCCGGCGGCAGGGCAGGGCCCAGGTGGCAGCTGTCACCAACCCTGCGGGGAGCAGCGGCAGGTTCCCGTGGGCCCCGGGGCCGGCGTGGGGCAGGCAGCCCCCTGCAGCCAGGGACGGGGTGTACGTGGGAGACCCGGGCTCTGAGTGCCTGGAGCTGCAATGGCAGCACCACGGGATGGGGGCTGGGGGGCCTGTGCCCCTGGGAGCAGGCGGCTGGGCGGGCTCCAGGGCCGAGCCGCGTAGGGAGGAGTCGCCCCAGGGGGTGGCACCGGGCCCGATCCGAGCCCGTGGATCTGCCCAGTGGGGTCTGCCCAGGCGGTGCTGCCGGGGGGCCCCGCGTGGGAGGGGACAAGGTGCAGCGCCCCCAGCAGGAGCCTTTCCCATGGACTCGCTGGCCTCCAGCTGCGTCCTGGCACCCTCCGCGCCGGGGACAAGGGAACGGCCTCGAGAGCCGGCAGGGGAGGGAGCAGCCAAGGCCGCCCCCCCCCCCCAGACCTCTACTGAGCGAGAAGCCTGGGAGTTGCCTGCAGAACAGCCCCCCTCCAGCCCCCCCCCCGGGCACCGGCACAGCCATGAAGCTGCCTGTCGGGGAGGGGATCCCACAGGCGGGGGGGCTACACGCACTCGCGGGCTGAGGGCACCGACCCCCCCCGGGGAGCCCGGTGACCCCCCCAAAGACCCCTCCTCCTTGTGGGAGCTCACGCAGGGCCCTGCCTGCCCCCCGCACAGATCCCCCTTCATTAGCACAGGGCTCCGGCTCGTTATCTCTGCTGACGCTGATGGGAACCGTCTGCGCCAGCCTCAGGGCCGGGGGGGAGGCTGGGCAGGGCTGGGAGCCCCAGCGATCGCCTGGTGCAACAGGTCCTGGGACATGGGGGCAGCCAGCACCATACGTGGCCATGTAGGGCCCCCCCGGGCAGCGGAGGGAGATTGTTCAGGGGCCATGGAGCACGGGGTACCACTCCCTCGCCGCCTGGCGAGCCTCTCTGTCTGGAGCCGAGAGTGCTATGGGGGCCTACCCAGCACAAGCAGCTCCCCCCCCGATACCCCCAATCAATACCACCCCCCCGAGACCCCACACAGATACCACCTCCCCAAGACCCCACACCATGGTCCCCATCCCCCCAGACACTCCTCACCAATACCACCACCCCCCGAGACCCCACACCACGGCCCCCATCCAATCAAGACACCCTCCCGAGACCTCACACCACGACCCCCATCCCCTCAAGACACCCCCCACCGATACCACCCCCCCGAGACCCCACACAGATACCACCCCCCTGATACACCCCACCACGGCCCCCATCCCCCACAGGGACCCCCCCACTGACCCCACGGCCCCCAGTGACTCGACACTAAGTGAAGAGGTGCAGCCCCCCCCCCCTGCAGGCACTGTGCTGAGCTGGCCCCGCTGGACTCTCCTGCTCCCGCTGGGGCTGGCACACGAGGGGTTAAGGGGCACCCTGCATCCCGCCCCGAGCGCGTTACCCCCCCCAATGCAGTGCTGGCTCCAGGCCCACGCGCTGTGGTTCGCCCACCTGCTGTCAATCATCCCCCCACGCTCACCCCCCCGGGTTATTAACTCGGGGGGGATCTGGGCAGGGCCCGGCCCCCGCAGTGTGCGTTAGGGTTCATGCTGCGGGCAGGGCAGGTTGTGGGGCATTGGACCTGGGAGGGGCAGAGATCCCGGGCTAATTTATAGCGCTCCAAGCTCCTGGTGCTCCCCCAGGATCCAGCCAGCCAGGGCGCGGCGCGCTCTGACCCCCGGCACTCCTGGGTGCCATGGTCCACGCCCAGCGCTGCACCAACTGAGGGGCACCAGCAGAGCTGGGGGGAGCCCAGGGCTGGGCTAGTAGACGGCTGCGGGTCGGGAGTGAGGGGCACCGGCAGAGGTGGAGGAGCCCAGGGCTGGGTTAGCAGGGGGCTGCGGGTCGGGAGTGAGGGGCACCGGCAGAGCTGGGGGAGCCCAGGGCTGGGTTAGCAGGGGCTGCGGGTCGGGAGTGAGGGGCACCGGCAGAGCTGTGGGTGCGGGGGAGTCCAGGGCTGGGCTAGCAGGGGCTGTGTGTCGGGAGTGAGGGGCACCGGGAGGCCAGGGCTGGGATAGCAGTGTTTCGGGAGCCAGGGAAGTGGGGGCTAAGATGGAAGGGAGTGGATAGACTGTGTTAAAAATAGAAAACGGCTGCCACACACAAAATTAGTGAAGCGTGTGGTGTGGAGAGGCCTTGGGGATGGAGTGATGGAGAGAGAGAGACAGGAGAAGGGAGGGGACAGGCTCTGGTGAAGTGTCTTCATCTCTGCTGGGGGAGGAGGCTCTCGGGGATGACCTGCCTCGGGTGGGGCCGGGGAGATATGTGTCTGGATTTCTGTGGGGTCTCAGCCTCTTTCATCAGCTGAAGGGGGTCCACCCCCCTGCCCCATCCCCGCACTCACCCTCCGAGCCTTGCTCTGGTATTTTACAGCTTTCTTGGTGTCGGACACAGCTCTTTCCACGTAGTCAACGGAGTGCTCCACGTTGTACTCAATGCGGTCAATCATCTCTCCCTGAGACAGAGAGCCCGGGTGAGAGGGAAACCAGCACAGAAAAACCGGCCAGCATAGGGAATGGGACCCGGGGTCGTTCCCCTGTAGGGGGCATTGGCTCAAAATGGGACTGGCTCGCTCAAGGGGGCAGGGAATGGGACCCGGGGTCGTTCCCCTCTGGCGGGGGCTGTAAGTCAGGAGTGAATTTTATCTGAAAGCTATTCTGAGTCTTGTATGCAATGAGTTTCATGAGTCTCAGTCCAGATTCTCGTGGGAGAAGAGACAACATCACAATGGGGCCCTGCCTGGCAGCCCTTTGGAGAGAAGCCATCAGCTGAATTGGAAATCTAGGTACCTTGTTGTGAGCTTACAAATGCACACCACTGACACCTTTGCAGCCCCTGATGGACTCTACAAACGAGCCCCATTTAGTGCTTCCTGGGTGCCAAAACCTTTAAAAGATTGGTGAGTCTGTTTCAGAACTTGTAACGCTGTACATTCTGGAACCTAGAACGTGCACTCTGGATCCACCCATGTTCTAGAAGAGTTCTAGAGTGGACCATCACCTTACGGTAGGGTGTAAGATAGAGAACCCACCATCCTGGGACTCTCTCTAGCACTCTTTCTGGTCCCAGGGTGTTGGAACTCTATGGGTTCTAGATGGCAGAACACATGCAGCTGTGAGTATCTTCTGAAGCATCACCATCCAGATCTCTCTAGGTTCTAGACTGGGAAGCCCATCTGACTGTCAACTGCCCTGCATTGCAGAATGCATTATGTCCTCGACCATTGCTCATGTCTTCCACGATCCAGAACTCTAACTGTCCTGTAATGCAAAAGACCTCCAAGGTTTTAGTGGCTCAAAGGACTGAGAACTTGGCTAACCCTGAAATACTGAAGCCAACCATGGGCTCTGAAATCCAGAACTGTATGGGTTCTAGACTGCAGCACACAGGTTACATGATCCAGAACTCTTCATGTTCTGGTACTTAGATCATGAAGCTGTCAGGTTGAGGGAATAATCTCAGGGGTTCTAGGTTATAGTACCCTATGAATTATGGGTCATATTTCATGGGTTCCATGATACAGAACTTTTTGGGTTTTCTAGTGCAACATCTAAGTTCTAAGGTGCAGAAGGCTGTGGATTCTAGATAATAGTTCATTCTTGGATTTATCGTGCGTGAATTGTCTATAATGCATGGATTCCATAATTCAGAACACAGTGGGTCCTAGACTGTTGCATTTAGGTGCAGAAGTCTGTTGGATGCAGAAGGCATCTAGACAATAATCTCATGGGTCCAAGGTAGAGAACCCTGTACATTCTAGAGCATAGCTCATGGGCTCCATGATCTAGAATTCTGCTGGTTGGAGATTCATTTCTGGGTTCCATGATACAGATTGCTGCAGGTTCTAGACTATAACTCTTGATGCAGAATGCTCTCCACTTGAGGTAATAATCTCCTAGGTTCCACACTATAGAATCCTACACATTCTAGATCATATCAGATGGGTTCATTGATCCAGAACTCTCTTGGATCTGGGAGAAATACATGGGTTCTAAGATGCAGAAGATTGTGGATAATAGCTTATGGGCCCCAAGGTTCAGAACCCTGGAACTTGGCTAATGGGTTCCACAATCCAGAACTCTTCAGGTTCTAGAGTACATGGGTTCTAGGATGCAGACGACTGTGGGCTTTAGATAATAGCTCATGGGTCTCAAGGTCTAGAACCCTGTATGTTGTAGACCACAGCGCATAGGTTTCACAATCTAGAACTCCTTAGGTTCTAGCCTACAGTATATGGTTTTATGATGCAGAAGGCTGTGGACTGTAGATAATATGGGCCGAAGGTTCAGAACCCTGCAGGTTCCCCGATGGTGTGCTGTCATGGGTGCCAAGGAATTTTTTGAAAAACTACAAAGGGGGGAAAGCTGCCTTCTGATCGGTCATCTGCCTCACTGACCTGCCTCCTCCAGGGGTGGAACAACCAATCAGAGCTCAATATCCCTCTCTTTTCCCCTCCCCTTCTGTGTGAGCAACAGGTCAGCTTCTCTGCCCCTCCCCTTCCCTCCTACAGATGCCAGCTGAGGGCGGGGTGGGGTGGGGAAGAGCCCCTGGAGCTCAAGTTGTGCCACGGCAGAGAAAAGGTTGGGAACCACTGTTCTAGACTGTCGTTTATGGGTTCTAGATTATAGTGCATGGTTTCTGTGATGCAGACGGCTGTGGGCTGTCAAAAATAGTTCTGGGCTCCAGAACTCTGCAGTTTCTAAACCACAGCTCATGTGCTCCACCATCCAGAACTCTGCAGATTCTAGGCTGATGCCCACTCTAGATCCAGAACACTGCAGGTTCTAACCTGGCTCTCCACCAACATAGCCATGTCCACAAACATGTCATGCAGCTCACGGATACTGGTTTCCAGTTTGATGATCTCATTATGTCGGGTCTCGATCTCGTTCAGAGCCTGTTTCGTCATCTGTGAGTCCATTTTGATCTGTGGAAGCAGAAGAGAGTCTGGATGATAGAAACAAGCATCGCCCCCCTCGCCCCAGGGCCTTCCAGTGCTCACCCATTGCTGAAATGCAGCCACCTCTGGGGTGGGGCAGCAGGGGATGGGGATGGCTCGCCCTGTGCTGAAATGCAATTGTCCCCAGTGGCACAGCGCCCCCTAACACTGCACTGGGGCATTGCGTTCAGCATTGACTGCCAGAGGGGGAGCGCCCCCTAGTGCCGCACTGGGCTATTGACTTGGTCTCCCATCCAAGTCTGGAACATGGGAAGCCCTGTTTTGGGTGACATCCCAGTCCTGACACTCACATCATCAGTGAAAATAGCCAGTTTGCCGCTCTCCAGCATGTCTTCGAGCTCTTCGTTGGTGGTTGTCCGGCCAGCTGTGAAGGCGATAGAGGGTCAGTGGCCTTGGCCCATTGCTCCAGGGCTGATGGAAGCAAAATCCCACTCCCTGTTGAGCCCCTTCGCGCTCCCTGCAGCACAGCGCCCCCCTAGTACCACCCTGGGGCACTGGGGCCCAGCCCTGACTGCCAGGGGAGAGCGCCCCCTACTGAGCTCTGTTCCCTGCAGCACAGCGCCCCCCTAGTACCACCCTGGGGCACTGGGGCCCAGCCCTGACTGCCAGGGGAGAGCACCCCCTACTGAGCTCTGTTCCCTGCAGCACAGCGCCCCCCTAGTACTACCCTGGGGCACTGGGGTCAGCCCTGACTGCAAAGGAATAGCGCCCCCTACTGAGCCCTGCTCCCTGCAGCACAGCGCCCCCTAGCGCTGCACTGTGACACTGTGCCCAGCACTGATTGCCCGGGGAGAGCGCCCCCTGCTGAGCCCCTGCCCCGCTCCCTGCAGCACAGCGCCCCCTAGTGCCACACAGGGGCACTGGAGTCACTCAGCACTTTGAGGGTGTGCGCACTCACACACACACACATAGGGCCCTGATTCCCACCAGCAGGGGGCAGTGCCGCTCTCTCTCTTACACACACACACAGCCACAGCTTCCCCCCGCAACACCCCCCCCCCGCCAAATCCAAACCTACTTATCTCCAATTGCCTCTGGATCCGATCCTTGCAGCGGTCCCGGTATTTGGACTGGGTGGCGTTGTACTCCGTCATCACCTCCACAAACTTACGGGATAGGGTGGAGTGCTGGGGGGGGGGAGGGAAGGGAGACACCGTGAGAGACGTAGAGCGGCCGGGGAGGCACTATTTTTTGGGGGGTCCCTTCGGTGGCGGTAGCTTGTGGCGCTGGCTGAGATTGCGAGTGATCCGCCCTCGGCCTAGTGGAGGGAGGGATGCGGGGAGCTGTGACGGGAGAGAGCTGGAGAGGCGGGGAAGGAAGGGATGGAAGAGAGAGGATGGCTCTGGAAGTTGATCACGCTGAGGCTGGGGCTTCAGGAGGGAGGGATATTGGGGGCGGGGAGATGGAGGGATACTTGTATTTGGGGGGGGCGAGGGAGGAGGGATACATATTTTGGGGGATGAAGGCGGAACTATACGTGTGTCTAGGGGGCTGAGGGTGGAGGGATACCTGTGTTGTGGGGGCGTGATGGCAGAGGGATACCTGTTTCTGTAAGGGCAAGGGTGGAGGGATACCTGTGTCTGGGGGGAGGAGGGCTGAGGGATACTTGTATTTGAGGAGGGCTGAGGAGGGAGGGATACCTGTGTCTGGGGGGGGAGGGGGGGAGGGGGGGAGGGATACTTGTATTTGGGGGAGGCGAGGAGGGAGGGATACCTGTGTCTGGGGGAAGGAGGGCTGAGGGATACTTGTATTTGGGGGGGGTGAGGAGGGGAGGGATATCTGTGTCAGGGGGGTGAGGAGGGACGGATATCTGTATCTGGGGGGTGGCGAGGGCAGAGGGATACTTGTATTTGAGGAGGGGCGGGGGGGGGGGGATACATATTTTGGGGGATGAAGGCGGAACTATACGTGTGTCTAGGGGGCTGAGG